CACCACTGTTTTTGATCTCATTCCCCACTCCACCCCCGCAAAATGTCTCTGGTATATGGTTGTTCATTATTCTTGTTATTTTCTCGCCTGGTCCATTATACTCCTGCTATGAGTGAAACCATCCGGTATTTTTCTTTCTCTTTCTGGCTTATCTCACTAAGCATGATCTTTTCCAGCTCCATCCAAGTTGCTGCAAAAGACATGTGTTTCTCTTTTTTGGTTGCTGAGTAATATTCCATTGTGTATATGTACCACATCTTTTTTATCCAGTCATCTACTTTTGGGCATTTGGGCTGCTTCCATATTTTTCCAATTGTAAATAAAGCAGCAATAAACATGGGGGTACAGGTATCTTTTTCAATCAGTGTTTTTGTGCACACACAGTGATTTTAAACAAGCTAGGAACAGAAGGAACAAAACAGAAATAGAAGTGTGTTACTGAAATGTTGCTGAGCCAGCCACCATCTAGAGTAAGATCCTGTTAGAGGATAGATAGGGAACAGAAAAATAGCCACCACAAACCTTCCCAACCATCGAGTGTCTGATCCATAGCCTGGCACATGGGGCAATAGGAAGTCTCAGGGTCTCAGGTCATGGACAGGGCTGGGAGACTGACATCCTCCCTTGCAGCCTTCCTGCCTTCAGGTGTTCTTCCCTCTCACTTCAGTAAATCCACACTCGCCTGCTCTTGCTTGGAGTGGCAGCTGTTACTCTTCAACCCATGTACACACCCAGGCCCACAGCACCCACTCGCCTAGCAATTATTTCAAGATTTTAGGAATAAACTTGTGTTACCTGCAAGTGATGATAAATTTTAAGATTTTATAAATGATTATTTGTTGTATCAAGTCTATAGGTAAGAAATAGCTTCATAAGCAATTTCAAGGAGCTGATTGGTAAAACAATATTTATTTCTAACTTTAGTAGGAGTTATATACTTAGAAAGAACTTTTCTTCCATGTTACTAAGCCACCTTTCTACATATTTTAAGCAATAGTTCAATATTTAAGCTTTCACTCTCCTCAAAATTGATGGAATTTGCCATATTACATTTATATATTAATTTATTTAGTCGATATAATGTACATATTTCCATATAGGCAGTGAATAATAGAGATCTAGAATTTGGAATTTTAAATTAGAGAGACAATTAGCAGCTATACATAAGTCAGGAAATTTATCATTCTTTAATCTTAATTTTCACTTATGTAAAATGACATTACTAATAGTATACAGCTTTTAGGATTAGTTTGAAAATTAAATAAGGTGATGCAAGTTTTATTTGAATTTTTATTATTTTATTTTTAAAACATTTTACCAAGTTAAATTGTCAAATTTATGTATAACTGTTGACTTTTCAGGATAATGTTAGTTTTCAAAATAATCTTCAAGCCTTTGAAATTTTTTTGAAATGTGAAATAGCTGTTGTAACATGGGACACATGAAAGAAACACTATTGTGACTTGGTATCTTATTTGTAAGAAAATGTGGATAATTCTTTTGTATTCTTCATACACTAGTTTGATATATTTAGTTTCTCTACGTCTTGTTTGTGTCCCTTTCATTTCTATTTAGGAAATAATCACCTGATTACTCTTTCTTTTTGTAAGTATACAAAGTATCTTCTCCTCAGTTAACTTTAGTTTTATTATTATAGCTACCTTATCCCTATTCTCTGCATATTCCCTGTTCACCCTCTATTAAACTTCAATACGATTCCCGTTTCCAAGTAGGAGTCACTTCATGCTTTGATAGCTCCTGGAATACCAAAGACATCAATTGTGTTAGCTAGCTCCCACATTATGATTTGAATGACTTTACATTTGATCCACTCCACACCATTACAGTCTGCTCACAGCTCTATCAAGGACAGGATGCAGGGGGGGCGGGGAGTTCTCTGAGTCCTTAAGCCCAGGTAATGTCCTCTTAGCAACTCAGTTTTGTCACCTGACTGAAACATTCTCTGACCAAGGGCTGAGAGTATCTGAGAACCCCAAGTACTAGGGCCTTCTGGTATTGGAGACCAGTGACAATACACTAGAATTGGATTTAATATGCATATCTATATATGTTAGAAATAACAGCCACACTAGAAAAATATTTTTTAATTTGTTTCCATTTTTTAATGTTTTACAAGTACAAAAATTATCACAGCAGCCTTTTCAATTTACAGTGCCCCATGAATATTCCTTATAACATTTTATTTGCAGGTATACTGAAGCTCAAAGAACTACAAGTGTAGTTCTCAAGTATTCTCCAGTCACAGCCTGAACTTGCATTTAAATATGGATCTTATGGCTCCTGGTTAATTTTGTTCCAGGGTTGGAGAGGGGCTCACCCTAGAACCCTCAAACCTACCCACTCTAAATAGGTTCTGCCATTCACTGCATCAAGATAAAGCATACTCTAGTGCATAAGTCCTTAATGAAAAGAAACTTTCATACAATTAGTGTGCAATACAGAAAAGACAAACAAAGAAGTCTCCAAATCAAGCACCCAAAGTTATTCAACCCCTCATTGGTAAATACCAACAGGGTTGTTCCAAAGCAGGGCCACTGAGGCCTGAAGTTCACCACAAGTCTAAGGCACCTTCTGAAGGGGGGGCCCAAGGAAAGGGGTAGATGGGGCCAGACAAATATGCAAGGAAAAATGTAAAATCAAAATCAAGGCAAATGTTGTCATTGTTAACCTCCCTGTGGGTCTCTCAGCCACATCTGTTTCAACCAGTCCAGGACCAAGAAGCAAGTACAGTTTCTTCACATGTCTCTCTGCTCCATGTGCATCCTCCAGGTCTCCTCCTAGCTCTCCATCTTGCTTCCTTCCTTTCCAGTCTCCATCCCCAACCCCCAGGTACTCCTCCTCCCTGGTCAGCTCCACCTTTTTGTTATGTGGGTAGGGAACCTTGAAATCCCCTTCCCTGAGACCACACTGCTACTAAGGTCCCTTATGGATACTTCCCAACATCTGAAAATTACTGGAATTAACCTAGTGGATTTTAGGACTTTATTATAAACTGCTATCAAAGTTGTAAAATAACAATACTATGAAACAAACACTTTACAGTTCCCTTTCTAAATAAAGTTGTAAAACTTCAAATAAAGTGTTCACAAGTCATGTGCACTGGTGTATCAAGTCTTTAAGTCTTCACAACAGAATAGAGTTGATTCCAGAAACACGGTTATGATTCAGAAAGACACAGGTAAAGAAAAGTGACACCAGATCTATAGAAAAACATTTGCTTCTGTCAACATACATTAAAATTTGCTGGTAAGTTCTTTAAACTTACTATGATCAGAACTTTGAGAGAAGCACGATTAGGAGGATTCTTCCTAGATATTACAAGAGCAATCTATCTCAATTCAAGAACCAAACCAGATTATTAAACCCTGGAGGCATTCAGCTGAACATGGGGTAAAGTTAATGCAGCTACTGTCTCAGTGAGTTCTAGAAAATCTGGATAAGTTAATTAGAATTAAATAAGCATTTAATTTTGAGTTGATACAATAGAATGGTTTCTGTATGGATTCATACATCACAGGTGATTACCTTTTCAATTTTCACCCTTTTTCTCTACCATTTACTATCATCATTTTTCCTCCACAAAATTCACTTTTATATATATTCCAGAACAGTTACCACATGCCAAAATACAAACTGAGAGAAATTCATGAGGTGCCAAGTTCATGAAGTACAATTATATTAAATGACCTACTTGCAACTACTCACTTTGTGTCTCATGATGCCAGCATGAGTGGTGCAGTGAAAACAGGATAGGCCTCTCTTCCTGACCCACCAGATAAGCATTTCTATCTCTTGCACTCAACAATTTGTCATCTTGCATTCTAAGAAAAGGAAGGACCTCCCTAAGATGATAATAAGGAAATTAAATAGCAGTTATTAACAAAGCAAGCTGGCTTGTGCCCACCAGCTCCATATGCCTCTATCAAAAGGACAGGGGCCCTCCCTGTCTCCCCTTTGTGGACCCTTGCCCATCTCCCCTTTGGCTTACTCCTTTATATGAAGACCCCTAATCCCTGCCCCAGAGCAGGATGGTGGTCTTTCAAACACAAGTCTGCTGCCCTCCTCAGTTTGTCCACAAATTAAACTACTTTCCTTCTCCTCAAACTCTCCTTTCTTTTACTGGCTGAGGGAAACTGAGGCCAGTGTTCAGTATCACTCTCATAGGTAAATGCCCAGACAAACAGGGTTGGCTCAACACAGATCCAAAAGCCCACCACAAGTCTAAGGTAACTTCTGGGGGGGGGGCACCCACAGAAGAGGGCCAGTGTATCTGGGACAGAAGGCAGAAAATCAAGATAAAAGCTGACATTGACACCCCACAAGTCCTTCACCCACATCTCTTTCAGCCAGTCCATGACTATGAAGCAAGCGCAGCTTCTTCCCATGTCTCTTGGTTCCGTGTACCTCCTGCAGGTCTCCTCTGGCTCTCCACCTTCCTTCCTTCCTTCCTTTTCAGTCTTCTCTCCTCTCTTCAGCTTCTTCTGGCTGCTCAGCTCTAAACTTCCTTGGGTGGGGCAGGGAACCTGGAATCTCCTCTTTCCCTGGGGTCCACTCTGTTACAATATCTCTTACCTCTGCATTCTTCTTGGTTTTCATAAAACCTCACCTCATCTTTATAAATATGAATATCAGGCTTTAATATATAAATCGAAAAGATTTCCATGTGGGAGGAAATTATTCAAGGCATTACTGGGATCACTTTTGAAACATTTCCCCCCTTTTAACAACTTTGCCAAATCAGTGAGATTTTAATATGGATATATATTTTAATTTTTCTTATGGCAACTAAGAACAATGATATGCAATCTTTGAATTGTACAGTCCAATAGGGTGTGCAAATTAGGAGGAATTGGGGGAAGAAATTTGATGGGTTTGTGCAGGGTATCAGGAGTTCAGCGAAATGAAATTTCCAGTGTTTGGCGCTGTTCTGACCTTATAATTACACTGAACTCTCTTGAAGAACTTCTTTGTGCTAAATGTTAGTTAAAAGATTTAGAATTAAGTATCCTCAGTACACGTTCTCTTATCTGTTTGGTCCTGACCCCATAAATAACAGGATTAAGGGCAGGGGGAACAACCACATACAGATTAGCCACAAGTATGTGGATGTAATGAGGGATGTTGTGGCCAAAGCGGTGTGTCAGGAAGGAGAAGAAGGCTGGCACGTAGAACGCCACCATGACACAGACGTGGGAGCTGCAAGTGCTGAGCGCCTTGATCCGGGCATCCCAGGACTGCAGGCGGAAGACAGCGCGGAGGATTTGGACGTAAGAAAACCCGATCACAGAAAGGTCGATGTAGCCCACTGAAAAGGCAACCAAGCCGTAGATGACATTGACTCTTATACTGGCACAGGCTAACTTGGCCAAACCCATGTGTTCACAATAGGTGTGGGGAATAATCCGGACACCACAGAAAGGAAGTCTCAGGATGAGGAATATGAACGGAGTCATGAACATCAAAGTCCTGACTATGCTGAGTACGCCCAGAAGGGCCACCACCTTATTGGTGAGGATCATGCTATATCTCAGGGGGTTGCAGATGGCAACATAGCGATCGATGGCCATGACCGTCAGCACCACGGACTCCAGGCTTGTGCATGTGTGAATAATGTACATCTGTGTGATGCAAGCACCAAACACAATCTCCTTGAGATTGAACCAGAAAATGCCCAGCATCTTGGGGATGGTGGCTGTGGACAGGCCAAGGTCTGTGACAGCCAACATGGCCAGGAAGTAAAACATGGGTTGGTGGAGCCGACACTCAGTGTAGATCACAAAGAGGATGGTACTGTTCCCCAGGAGGGCTACTACATAGACCACAAAGAAGGGGAAGCCCACCCACATGTGCACATCTTCCAACCCAGGGATCCCAATCAGAAGGAAGGAAGAAGGGTGGAAGTATGTATTGTTGGGATGAAGCATCTCAATGGCAACTGGTTACGGACACATTTCTTGCATGAGTGTTCTGGCTTCCTTTGGAGAGACTAACCTCTTTTCTTTGCTAGAGAAACAGAAAACCCACACTTTAATTCCATAATCTAGCAGAGGAAATGTAGAGAGGAAATGTGAGGCTCCGTTAAAGAGCCACTCTCATTTCAAAGTATTTACCTCATCCACATAGAAAAGCATGGAGAGATCTCCAAACACAGCAATCCCACACTTCTTATGTATCTCCTTCCTTTCAGTCTCTGTGGAAGAATCTGCATATGACATTATCAAATATTTATCATTAATTTTAGTTGTTCATCAGGATGTAAGACATCAACAAGATGGCGTGTTGGTGTGTGCGTATTTGTGTGTGAAATATCACTGATCTGAGATTGAGGGGTAGATGGTTTATGACCCTGTCTGATGCTTCAAAGAAATGACACAGTTTTGCAACATGGACTTGAAAAACTAAAACTCTTTTATGTGGGAAAAAACCCACAAAGAAGGAGGATTGAATAGCAGGTATTTGGATCTGAACCAAGGAGTTTAAACACATTGGAAGATTATTATAAATTTTCAGCAAAATAACACTCCCTCCTAGAACAAAAAAGTCTCTTTACTCCTGTATTTCATTTCTTTTCCTAAACAGATTAACACTCAAGACTCCCAAATATTTTGAAGAGCTTTTTGTAATTTAGGACTTTATTTTTGACCACCATACTGCATTATATTAATGGACAATTACTTTGTGTCATGTGAATAGACAGCAAAATATTTTCATCTTTTTTAAAAGCTAGAGCAATCCCAACATCAGAAGACACTTGCATCAATTTGGTTACAGAATAGTTTGCATCAGAGTTACAGTGAGTTTATATGAGACAGCCATGGGTGATATTATGTTGAAATTATCAATACTCTCATTCACCTAGCCACAGGATCTGTGTGTGCCCTGAGGTTGAATCTGGGGTGCAGCTAGCCCAGTGCCAATCATGAAATCTGACATGAAGGAGCCGTTGGGTGCTTGATTGTGTGCAAGGAGAGTGGGTCACCACTAGGAACTCTGCTGTTACCATGTGCACACTGGGGGCAGCTCCGGAATGTAGTGAAAGAGCCACAGTGATTGGGTTTATTTATTCTATTCGGTGTCATGTCCAGGGCAGTCCAAGTGACTGTTTTGTTTGGATTCCCTTTTGTGTGCAGTGACTTCTACTTCGGTGGGACTAATTTTAAGGACATGTGACATGGCTTTAACCAAGGTCCCCAGAAGTGATGTGTAGTTGGATTAGTATAGGCCTTGTTGTTTCCACTATCTAAAAAGATACACCGTGAAATTGTTTCGGAAGGATGCAGAGGAGGGAAGGTTATAACTTTTTACTCTCTGACTTCAGTCAGTCATTTCCTCTTTCCTTTCCCTCTTAATGTGAAAATCAGTGTCAAGCCCTTCTACCTACCAATAACAATTACAGTCATCTTTCTATTCACCTCTTCTGCCTGTTTCAACTTGTAATCCTTTTCTTCTTTGCTTCTAATGAAAAGATAATTACTTAAGTTGTCATGGGAAAAAAAACTATTAAATTATTTTTTTTCTCTTCACAACTACTGAGTTAAACTTATATAAACATTTATCTTAACTTTTCTATAAGCCATCCCTCTTCACCAATAACCCTCAATAGTTTTTCTTTTGTAAAGCATGTAACTAATCAATATAACATCATTAAAAAAAACAAAACTGAACACTAGAGATTCACACTCTAAGGGAAGGGAACAGAAGGTTATGTGGTTATGTACAGAACAAGGGAAGAAGAATTGAGGGCTTGTGTATAGTTTGGAGTACTCTGTTTATATCCTTGTGGTGTCTCTTAGGGTGGGGTGGGAGAAGAAGGACCAGGGGCCATTATACCTAATTGGATTATTGCATTATTCTTGCAATGAAAGATTAACCTCCTGCATTTAACTTCCAAAACAGTATAAATTATTACATGTTCTTATTACTGTTACCTAATACTTAAGCTTTCTATTTCTGCATTTAGGATCATCTGCAAACCTACCACTCTCTGACCTTGACTGTTTTATTATAGAAGTCCCTAGGTGTCCATGTGTGGGGTCCCCAGTCCTTTCATTCTTGGGAATACTGTCTTGGTGCCCAGAATTCCTGCTTGTCAGCTAGGTGTAGGGTCAGGCAAGGGGCTCTCATCAAGGACAAGAGTCCTGCTGTCAGGATCATACTGGGATACCAGTATCTGCTGAAAACAGCAGGCAGATATTAGAGAGATAAAATGTTCTGACTATCAGGGAACAATGTATCCCCCAGGCAATAGCCCCTGGCTACTCTCCCCTTGCTCATATCCCTGATTACATGTCCCACACACATGTGCATGCTATACAATCTCTCCCCACCTTTGTAATTGATGATAATAAATATGCGATGCTTTTGGATGGGGGCGGCACATCACATTTGGGTGTACCCCTCTAGTCTCCTCTCTCATCCCGCTCTGCTCCCAACACTGCTGCTCTGCAAGAGACAGTCAGGTTTTAATTCATTTGAAAAATATTTACCTACTCTCTGCCAGTTACTGACCTGCCAGTATTTTGTTCTTCATTTCATACAAGGTTTCTACTATTACAGGAATCCTTCCGCTTTTTGACAGTCTTTGTAAGGAAACTCTAAAATGTACCTTAGTATTCCAACTGTAATACAAACACAGAATACTCCTGCTTAAGAAGCTTATTCTCATTGGCAAGAATTATCACCTGTGTAGGTTATCACTCTTGGCAGCTGTTACCATCGGTGCGACCACCCCTGATGCAGTCACCAATTTTCATCAATTTTTCTGTTTACTCTTGCAGGTATATTTTCTAAGTTCATCTTCAGCATAACTCTCTGAGGCTCTCTCTTCTTCCTTTCTGAATCTTTCTATTTCCCTTCAGTCTCTTAATTCCTAGGGTGACTAGTGAGTTTCTCCCAGGGATCAGCCTCCATCCATTGCAGCAAAATTGCCCTTTTTCCCCAGGTTTCTAAGCTTCCACCTCCTGACCATTCTGCCCAAATATCCAGATGTACTATAAGTTTCTCCTACTAGGATGATTGTGTTCTGTGTGGGGGGTTTCTGTCTCTTTTCGGGAGCAAAATATAAGGATATAAGAAAGACTATTTGTGCCAACTCATGCAAGCTGCCATTGGTATTTTCTCTTGTGTTTGCATATCACATGTTTTGTTCAAATACATCCCTGGGTTACTGATGGCAGTTTTTACAACACCTTCATGTTTTGCCGTGTGCTACTCAGTTCATGACTGATGTGTGGCTGTGAATACAGTTTATCCCCAGTTCCACTCCTATCTCTCTCTTGCTGCATACCTTGGAGATGAATTAATTATAGAGACTCTGGTTAAGTGGCCAGAGCTCTGTTACCCACGATAGATGCTGTCACTGTGCACCCTCCTCCGACATGACCAGAAGCACTCACCTACCTCAGCCCAGCATCTGAGAACTTGTGAGGTGCTGGATGCTGCAGACTGCAGCCTGTGTGTGCTGACTCTCAACACCCAAGAGTTATACATGAAATCCAGTCCCCTGAGAAGGGCCCCTCATAGGGCCCTGCACCTGGCACAATGGACAAGTGTTTCCTGTGTCTGGAGGATAAAGTTTTGTACTTTTCTTGTCAGGGAAAAATGATCTGCCCTTTGCTCTTCCAGCAAGGACCTTCCCCAAAGGGGTCTGCAGAACCTAATCATTTTGATCTTTCACCAAAATGTCAAATCTCACTGTGGTACCAGGTGAGCAGTTACTTTGGAAAAGACAGGTGATAAAAGCAGGGAAAGAACTGGGAGCAAAGCCCAGCACTTCCTCAAAGGAGAATACACAGAAATATGTGCATTTAGTAGATAGATGAGAGAAGAAGAATTCTGTAATAATTTTCCAACACCTGGCCTGCATCTGTTTTAGCAGTGCAGTATATAACTACGCCAGGCTCCCACCTGATCCGGAGGTAGTGACTCCTCTTTAATAGCAAGAGCCACTCCTTGATTTCAGAATGAACAGAAAGAAATGGATTGAGCAGACATTTCAAAAATAAAAATCAGGGCCCTCCCTGGTGGCGCAGCGGGTTAAAGCACTGCACTAAGAAGCTTAAGCCACTTCCATATAAGTTTGATCCCCGCCTGCCCTGGAGGAGATCCACATGGTGAGGCAGACCTCTCCTGACCCGCCCGCTGCTCCTCTCAGCAGTGTACTTCATCGATCTGCCTGTTCTGCTCCCCACTCTGTCTCTAGTGAATCCTCTCACCCTCCGCATCTCTGGCCTGTACCCCAGTTCTTTATGAATAAATAAATAACTCTTTTAAAAATAAATAAATAAATAAAAATCAAAAAAAAATAAAAATAAAAATCAGGTAGAATGATGTATATTGAAAAGATTTGAGGATTCATTATGCAACCCTGCCAATACATACTTATTTCTGGCAATCAGGCAAGATGACATGTAACAAACTAAATAAAACAGGGTCTTAGACCCCCCAAATCCACAGTGTTAGAAGTGACATTAAATTAGGGAGCTTGTGAACCAGAAAGAATGAACTCTTTACTGAGAAAATAGAAAGAGGAAAAGAAAAAATATTGGGATTTTGAGAATAAGAAGAGGAATTTATATTTTAAGGATTATGTAGGTGATATCTACAAAATAGCCAGGTAGAGATATGCTATGTTTAGAACTTGGAGCAACATTACAAATATTATGTTTGTTGTTATTTGACAAAAGTAAGGTAAGGAGGTATGAAATAGCATATAAAATAAAAGGAGAAAATTATATATGCTAAAGGTCTAGATCTTAGACTAACAAGAATTTTCAAGTGGTTATGGGAAAGATAAAGAAGAAGGAAAAGGACAAATGTGGATAGTTTCATGCATTTGTGGAACACTGAGAAACAAAACAAAAAATAAGACAAAACCAAACCAAAACTGACTATAAAACTGAGTTTGGGGAGGGAGAGGAAAGCA